GGTTTGAGGAGGGTGTCCAGGGCTCAGGGACTTGGGGCTTGGAGTTGTGTTTTCGGTCTTGAAGGGCTTGAAGGGGTTTGAGTGGTGGCCAGGGGGATGATGATGGGGAGGAGGAGGAGGAGGAGGAGGAGGAGGAGGAGGAGGCGAGAACTGATGGCAGAGATAGATCATGTAGGATAATGAAGAGCGGCAGGGTGAACGGGTAGACGGTAAGGCAGGTGAAAGGCGGTGGCGGAGGAGCAACCGAGAAGAGGAGGAGGACCAAAGCAAACCAGCATTGCTTCAGCGATGCTACGGTAGACCACCCCCTCACAAGTCCCCTCCGCAGAAGGCCTTGCGATACTTCCCTGCGCTGCAGGTAGCCCCTCCCTTGGAAAGACCAGCGCCCCACGGGCCTGCCATTCGGGCGAGAGCCCCGTTGTGAGAGGAGCTGCCCTGCACCCTTCGGGCGAAGAGCCCGAAGCTCTGCGATAAGGTATGGTGGTGCAGCTCACCGAGGTGTCCAGCGAGATCCCTGTTGTGGAAAGGAGCCCCCCCCCCCATCTACGTGAACGTCGCGCAAGCTTGCACTTCTGGCCATGACCGTCGAAGAAGTCTTAAGTGACAACCTTTGTTTTGTAACGGAGCCGCCCGCCATCCGTGCAGCTGTTACATGTGACACAGCTTCTGGCATTTAGCTTCAAGGACATCTCGAGCGAGAACCACACTTTGAAAAGGAGTCGGTATATATCCTTGGAACTGTTGCAAGGTTTGAAGAGGAATTTGCGAGGCGGTAGGGCGTGAGCGCACGTGTGAACATCACCGTTTTGTTTTCGTTGTTGATGGTGCAACTTTCTAAAACGAAAGCGTGCAGGTGCTAATGCGAGAGACCCAGTCTGAAAACGACCCCCCTCACTCCATGTAGTTGTTGCAAGCTATGAAGACGAATCTGCGTGGCGCTAAGGTGAGAACCCCAAGTTGAACAGGAATCGCTGTCCGTCCTTGTTCCGACGAGTGCTCGCGTCGCTGAGGCGAGAGCTCCATTTGTGCTCCCTAAGTTCTGAGTTCCAGGATCTTCAGCAGTTAGGAAGTCTCGGGCGAAACGCCTGGCCCGCCCTACCGACACGTCTGGGGTGCGGCAGGGACGCGTTTTTTGTTTCAAAGAGTGAGAAAGGTTCGAGGAGGACGAGGAGGAGACGGAGGAGGGGGAGGAAGAAGAGAAGGGGGAGGAGGATAAGAGCGCACAGGAGGATGAGGATGAGGACGTGGGGGGGAGAAGGGAGCGAGAGAGAGAGAGCTGGGCTGTTCGGGCAGAGCGGAGTGGGAGAATGAGGAGTCGTAGTAAACACCAATGTGACGACGTTGCCGCTTGTTGAGCAGTCGAGGACGAGGACCAACAGGGCATGGGAGAGCACGAAATTTTGTCAGGTCTAGAAAGGATGAAGGGCTTTATCAAGGCTGCCCCTGCATCCTTGCGTCTCCGGCCCATTTGCAGCCATGGCCTCGTAATAGTTTGCCTGATGCTGCTGCAACGATTTTTAATCGGACGTCCAGAGGGGATTACTTTTGCATCCTTACCTTGTACGCTTACTTTAGAATTTGAAGGTAGCCCATTCCATGAGTGACTGTTGGCAGCAGTGCGCGCTGCCAGGAGCTTGCCTCCACCGTCCTGGATGGCCCCAGCGCCGATATCGGCGGCGTTGGCAGAGCGGCGGCCCGGGGCTTGCGAAGGGCAGGGTGGCGCTTCGCCACATTTGTTAGTCCACTTGTTAGTCCAGCCGATTGCTCAACCTAGACGTTATCGTCCTCCGGCTCGTCCTCATTCTCTGTAGTCCTTTTTCTCTGTCCTGTTTTTTTCAGTGGATGGCGCGAATGTAGTCTGGGAAGCACAGGTTGCCCGACCATGGTAGAGCGCAAGGGGGCGACGAAGAGCGATGTGATGCCAAGGAGGGGGAGAGGCAACAGGGAGGGGGAGAGTGGGCAGGATGTTGGAAAGTCTTTCTGACCGTCTCCTCAGTGTCGGTCCCTCCCGTGAAGTTTTTTCCTCAAGTAGAGCTTGCGCTTATGGTTTCTTATTTCTTTTTCCAGAGACTGGGCTGGAGTGTCGCCCCCGCTGGCTTGTGGTCGCTCCGTCGCCGACCCGTCGCCACTCGTCGCCGCCAGTCGCCGCCAGTCGTCTCCGCAACTGGGCTGGTGTACCTCCCAGGCCAGCTTGTGGTCGCCACGTCACTGCTCTGTCGGCGCTCGTCGATGCCCGTCGCCGCCTCGTCGCCGCCCGTCGCCGCCGCCTCAATCGCCGCACCCCGTAGAATGCACCACATAACTAATAATATTGCACCGTCGAGGTTCTCCTTTGTACAAGAATACTAGGATCAACCCATCTCCCTGTAATTAACGGTTCCCCATTTCGTAAAACAATTTACATCTGATTTTGCACCATCGTCTATCCTAAACTTGAATTCGTACCATCCCAGGCAGGCTGGTACCGCCCCCCTCATCCTTCCTGTACAAGAAATTGTAAGCGCGCATATTCTTTTATCAAAGCTCATCAATTTCCAAACATCCCTTACAGAAAATGGGACGAAGTGCACACGCGCGCGTCGGCGCGTGCGCATGCGGCAACCCTTCAAAAACAGTTGGTTTCGAAAGGATGTCTTCAATATCGAGTTTCCCCAAGCCAAATATAACACGTGGTTTCCCAACACGGACTTTCACACAAAATCTTGCGCTCGGGTTCTTGCGCGTTCTTCATCGGTTTTCACGATTTTCATGGCATGCTACCAAATGGACCTCTCGCGCACGCATGTTGGAATCGCAACAATGTCATTGCGCGCATGCTGTCGCAAAAACCCTTCGCAACAGATGAGACGAAGTGCGCACGCGTGCGTCGTTGTTGTTGGGGTTGACGGCCAGACCTATGGGCCCCCCAACCGCCACCTCCGGTACAAGAAGCCGCAGGGTGGAAGCAATAGAAAAAGACCGAGCGCCTATCGAGACCACAAGGAGGATGAGGCAGGGCGGATGCAGACGAGGGATGAAGGGTGTACTAATCGGTGCACAGCGGCCAAAACCCTCACCCTCTGGGCAGTAATAGTTCTAGCGGATGTAACCATCAAACAACATGGACCCCCAAGAAGGGCGGCTGGCCTGAACGGCCATCATTTCGGCATGTAAGCCGTGGCACGTAGGCCGGCCCAGCCTCAGCATGTAGGCTTCGGCCTTGTGGACACAATGACCGAACAGACCTGGAATAACATCCGTGGGCACAATCGCCCCCAAGGTCTCATGGATAGACGCGTGCAGATAAACGCAACTCAGAGCCCACTGAAGCCAAGGAAAAAACAAACCCGATAAAAGAACGCCCCCGCCCAGGAGGGGGGAGTGAACTGTTGCGAGGCAGGCCTGGGGACCCGTGCCACGAGGAGGGCAGGAAAGAGGAGGGAGGAGGAGGAGGAGGGGGGGGGGACAATGAGGAGGAGGAGGAGGAGGAGGAGGAGGAGGAGGAGGAGGAGGAGGAGGAGGAGGAGGAGGAGGAGGAGGAGGAGGAGGAGGAGGAGGAGGGGCACGGGGGGGAGCCCAGACCCCGGCCACGCTACGGATAACATCCCCCAGGGAAAGGACTCCAACGAGAGGAGTGGGCTCCTAGAGTGTTGTCCTGGATTATCCGGGTAACCCCTACGAGACGCCATGAAGAGTGGCGGCCACGAAGGATCATGCAGCCAGAAAGCGAGACAAGTACAGAGCCCAAGAAGGGGTCGCGCGGTGATCAGGCGCAACAACCTCCTGCCCCCGGAACCCAAAGAGGGAGGGAGGATCCCAAGGGAAGCCCAACGGCGTCCCCCGGAACTCTGGGGTGTTGCACGTTCCCGCCCCGCCAGGAAGGAGCCAGGAAAAAAACAGGAAGAAGGCACCCCCCCGAAGAGGGAATGGGTTTGCCACCCCGTGTAGAGAGCGTAAAAAACATAATAGAAGCCAATGAAAGCCCAAAGAAAACCCATGATAGAGAAACCGAATAGGCAGAGATAGCCATTAGAGCAAATACGCTCCTAGGGTGTTGTCCGGTATCACGCCCGCGTGGAGGACGACGTGCATTGCGATCCCGCACGCGTGCGTCGTCGCGCGCTCATACCCGAATCCTTCAACAACCTTCCTGGTTTTGTAAGGATTTCAAAATCGAGTGTCCCGAACACATAGATACAACATCAGCTTTCAAGTAAGGAAAACCATATATTTCCAACATTAATCGCTTCGCTCATTCCGCCGGCCCATATTGGTTTACGGCTGTCGATTGCCTCAGTGATCGGAGTAACTGCGGCTGATTGGTTTGGTTGTTGGTCATGGATGGTCGGCTTGTGGCGACCTTGCCGGGAGGAGCCATTTTTTGCATGCCTGAGCCGTCTTATCTGGAAGGTGGCGGTTCGTGAAATTTTATCGCAGGAAACAAGAAAACAGTTTGCAGTCTCCTTGTCCTCTGAACTTCCTCCTTCCGCTGCTATGTGTAATCGTGCGTGTGTGTTGGGGAGGGGGGGGGCGGGGGGGTTGGGGTAGGGGGGTAGAGGCGCGAGCGTGGAAAGTGTGGGTGGCAGAGGAGGAGGAGGGGGGGGAGGTGGGGGAGGAGGAGGCGGAGGGAGTAGAGGAGCAGTGGAAGATGGAGGAAGGATCAGAGGCACGGGGGGTTTGGGGTGAGAGAGGTTGTTCATTTGAAGTCTCTTCAGAGTCTTTTGGGAGGCTCTCGGCGGCCTCTTGGCGGTATTTGTTGGTCCTCCTGGGGCTTCACGGCGCTTCGCCGCATGAAGCGCTGTTGGGGTGTCCCGGGAGCCTCTTAGAGGCAGTTTTGAAGCCTCGTGACGGTCTCTTGGGAGGCTCTCGGCGGGCTCTTGGCGGTATTAATTTGTCTTCTTGGAGCCTCACGGGAGCTTATTGGGGCGTCTTGGGGGTGTCTTGGAGGGTCTTTCGGAGCGGAGGACTTCAAATTCACGTTGGGGCTCCTCGTGGGAGGCTCTCTTGGAGTAGTCGTGGGAGTCTCTTGGGCCGTCTCGGTTTGGGGTATCTCCAGTGCTTCTTAGAGGCAGTTTTGAAGTCTCTTCAGGGTCTCTTGGGAGGCCCTCGGCGGTCTCTTCGCGGTATTTGTGGGTCCTCCTGGGGCTTCACGGCGCTGCACCGCAATCAGCGTTGTTGGGGTGTCTCGGGAGCCTCTTAGAGGCAGTTTTGAAGCCTCGTGACGGTCTCTTGGGGGGCTTTCGGCGGGCTCTTGGCGGTATTTGTTGGTCCTCTTGGGGCCTGGGGCCTGACGTTGTTGGTCCTCTTGGGGCCTCACGGGAGCTTATTGGGGCGTCTTGGGGGTGTCTTGGAGAGTCTCTTGGGGCCTCTTTCGGGGTCCTGGGCGCCTTCTGGGGCGGAGGGCTCGATTTTTCAGTTCTCGGTTCCCTTCTTGAGCCCCTCTTGGGCCCGTCTTGGGGCCTCTTGGTCCGCCTTGGGCGGCACTTGGGCCGTCTGGGGGGCGCTCTTGGGCCGCTCCAGGGCCGTCTTGGGAGCCTCGTGGGCCGTCTTGGAGCAGTCTTGAAGGCCTCTTGGGCCCTCTTGGAGCGTCCGGAAGCGAAAAGGCCAGAACGCAAAAAAACATAGAAAAAACCAATGAAAATCAACGATTTTGGCAACTTGGGGCCCTCTTCGGAGGCCTCTTGGAAGGCCCTTGGAGCGTCTTGGAGGCCTCTTGGGCTGTCTTGGGGCCATCTGGGGCGTCTTCGGGCGATCTTTGGCCGTCTCGGGCCTCTCGTGGACCGTCTAGAAAGCTTCTCGGGGCCCTCTTGGACCGATCTGGAGCCCTCTTGGACTCCGAAACAGAACTCCGGCATCTCTGACCCGACCTTGCCGGGACCCGGGGACTTGCCGGGGACTTGCCGGGGACTTGCCGGGACCTTGCCGGGGTACTTTTCGTCCGGGGACCCCCAGGGGCCGCCCCGCGCGCGCGAACTAGAAATACTGTTAACCAGGTACCGGAGATCTTAGCACGCCCTGGCCCGTTGGGCCGGCGAATTTTCATTAAGTTCTGCCAAACGGGCCTCTCTCGCCGCATGTCGAAATTATTCAAACGCCCCTGCGCGCGAGCGGGAGGGGGGCACACGATCCGTGCCAAATAATAGAATGCCCGCCACTTTCGCGCGTCGGCCGCGCGCGCATGTCGAACTCTTTGCAAAACCTTCATCACCGACGTTCGGGCGCCGTCATCGTCGTCGCCATGATCAGTATCGGCGCCGTCACTGGCCGTGCCGTCGTCGTTGTCACCATCGTCACCAGCATCGCTACTATCATCATCGCGTCTACCGTTGTCGAGGTTGCCATGATACCTCGCTCGCCCAAGTTGCCAACTCGAATTGAAGTGCCCGCTGGGAAGGGCCCAGCGGTCAGCGCCACCGCGGCCGTGTCGGTTGCGCCAAACTAGCTGGCCGCTTCGCGCGCGAACATGCGCGCTAGCCCGTCCGCGGCAATGCGCCAGCCAGCGCCGAGCAGTCATTGCAATCGCCGCCGCGTAGGTTTTGCAAGGCCCCTTGTGGGAGCTCCACCGAAGGCCTCAATGGCTGCTTTCGCACGCGTGACCCCTACCCAGTACAGCGTTCCGTGGCCCCATATGGGGGCTCCGCCGAAACCTCTTGTGGCTGCTCCCGCATGCGGGGCCCCCACCCAGTGCAGCGTTTCGTGGTCCCGTAGAGAGCTCCACCGCAGGCCCCGATGGTTGCGCTCGCATGCGGGACCCCGGCGCCGCACAGCGCTTCGTGGCCCCATAGGGAGCTCCACCGAAGGCCCCAGTGGCTGCGCTCGCATTCGGGACCCCCGCCCCATGGCTCCGTAGGGAACTCCACCGAAATCCTCAGTGGCTGCGCTCGCATGCGGGACCCCACCCAGTACAGCGTTGTGGCCCCATAGGGAGCTCCCACCGAAGGCCCTAGTGGTTGCACTCGCATGCAGTTGACCGTGCAGCGTTTCGTGGCCCCATATGGGAGCTCCCACGAAAGGGGGGCACTCGCATGCATTAGGACCCCCGCCAAGTACAGCGCTTCGTGGCCCCATGGGGAGCTCCGCCGAAAACCCCAGTGGCTACGCTCGCATGCGGTTATCCCGCCCAGCGTAGCTTTTTGTGGCCGCGTAGGGAGCTCCACCAAAAGCCCCAGTGGCTGCGCTCGTATGCAGGGCCCCCGCCCAATACAGCGTTTGTGGTCCCATAAGGATTTCTATCGAAGGCCTCAGTGGCGGTGTCCGCATGCGGCTCCCGGCCCACTGCAGCCTTTCGTGGCCCCATAAGGGGCTCCACCGAAGGCCCCAGTGGCGGCGTCCGCATGTGTTTCCCTCACCGAGTACAGCGTTTTGTGGCCCCATGGGGCTCCGCCGAAGCCCCAGTTGTTGGCCTGCCTCGTTGCGGCGCGCCGCATCGCACGTTTCGCAGCCCTATAGTGGGTTCCGCGTGCAATCCCAGTGGAAACGCCCACATGGCCGGCCCGCCCTATATTGGCACCCCTTTTGCATGCTTCGTGGCTCCATGAGGAGATCCCCCGAATCCCCCGAGGGCGATGCCTGCGACAACAGTATTCACGACTGCGCATGGCTGGATCCTTCGCCAGATTTTTCCAAACCATCCTGTGGTGTTGGGTCCTCGTTTCCAAAAAAAAACCGTTCCCGCGTCTCCTTCTCCTCCTCTCGTGCCCTTCCCCCAGTTGGGGTACCACATGCGTCCACCACACCGAGTTCTGCGCTCCGTGGCCTCATTGGGAGTTCCACCTAAGGCCCCAAGGGGGGGGGGGGGGGGCACCGCGTGCGTCCGCCACACCCGGTACGGCGTTTCGTGGCCCCATAGGAGGGAGCTCCACCTAAGGCCCCATGGGGGGGTACCACATGCGTCCGCCACACCAGTACGGCGTTTCGCGGCCCCGTAGGGAGCTCCACCGAAGGCCCCAGGGGGGGCCCGTAGCCATTTTGGCTCAAGCCATTTTGGTTCAAGGGAACTCCGATGCATGCCCGCCGCGCCCGCCGTGCCGCCGTCCGTCGCGATGGCAGCTGCGCGGGCTGCGCGGGCTAGAGGGGCCCCCCCGACGTGCGACGGCGCTGCACTCGTTGCGGTTGCCGTCCGCATCAGTGTGGATGGCCTTGCGCCTCGCCGCGCGAACGCGGCGGTCGCCCGCGCGGCAGTGGCAGCCGCAGCCTCGGCTGCGCTCGCCGCGCCGCGCGTTCTGGCAGCTGACGAGGAGGTCGACGAGGAGAAGCAGGAGAAAAAACCGACGCCGCCGTCGGTGGCGAAGGTGGAGCGCCGACGGCGTCGGCGCCGCCACCTGGCGGAGGCGCGCGCTGCTTGGCGCGCTGGTCCGCCTGCTGCTGGCGGATGCGCGGCAGCTGCTGCCGCTGGAGCGACGGCCGTGGGCCCTGGGCCCGTGGCCGCGGCGGAGGCGGACGCAGACGACGCGATGGGCGTCCCCACTGGCGCTGGAGGGGGGTGCGTGCGCGGGCTGCGGACTCGCGCTGGCCGTCCTGGAGGCGCCGGTGGACGTTGACGACGTCGAGTCCGACGAGTGGGCGGGCGTGCTGCCGCCGCGCGCCTCGCGGCCGCGGCGGCGTGGTGCCGCTGTTGGCGACCGCGGGCCGCAGCGACGCCGCGGCGACGGTGCCCCCGCTGGTTGGCGGCGCGGATGCCGCAGGTACCGTGATGGTGGCGGGCGGCGGTGGCGGCCCTGGGCGGCGGCGGCGGAGGCGCCGCGTGCAGCCTGGCCCCGCTCCTGCCCTTCCCGATGCTGCCCGCGCTTTTCCTGCTGTTGAGGTGGCGGAGGGCGAGGTGCACCTGGGCGATGAGTGGCCGACGCCCTCCCGATCCGCCGTGGCCACGGCGTGGTGGAGGCGGCGTGGCCTGGCCGTCCTGGCGGCGCAGTCGGCGCAGCGGAGGGGCCTTCGGAGCCTGGGCCCGCCGAGGAGCAGGTGGACCAGCTCCTGGCGGCGGCGATCGCGCTGTTGCAGCGCTGCGCGGACTGGGGCCCCGGCCGCGAGGCCGAGCTCCGTGCTGAGCTCTGGCGCAGGCTTCAGCCGCGCGGGCTCGCATGAGGCCCCGCTCGGCGCGGGCGTGTGGCGAGGCGGGCCGCTCGTTTTGCGGCTCGGCGGGCTCCCTTCCGCCTCGCGCAGGCTGGCGTCTGGAGGGGGGGGCCTGCTCTGGCCGCCGAAGTGGAGGTGCACAACGAAAGGCCCCATGGGGGGGTGCCACATGCGTCCGCCACACCCAGTGCGGCGTTTCGTGGCCCCATAGGGGGCCCCACCTAAGGCCCCACGGGGGGGGGGGGGGGGGGCGCCACGTGCGTCCGCCACACCCAGTACGGCGTTTCGTGGCCCCATAGGGAGCTCCACTTAAGGCCCAAGGGGTGGGGTACCACATGCGTCCGTTTCGTGGCTCGATAGGGAGCTCCACCTAAGGCCACGACCAGTACAGCGTTTCGTGGCCAGTGGGGCCGTCCGCATGCGTCCCGCACACCCAATTTGGCAATTTCACCCACCCAGTACAGCGTTTCGTGGCTCCTTAGGAAGCTCCACCGAAGCCGCCAGTGGGACCGCCCGCATGCGCACGCAATTCGACATTTTTCACCCACCCAGTATAGCGCTTCGTGGCCCCACTTGGGAGGGAGCTCAACCGATGCCCCCAGTGGGACCGCATGCGTCCCACATATTCAATTTGGCAGTTCCACCCACCCAGTACAGCCGCGTTTCTTGGCCCTATAGAGGCTCCACCGAAGCCCTCAGTGGGACCGTGCGCATGTGTCCCGCGCGCCCTATTTGGCATTTTCACTCACCCAGTATAGCGTTTCGTGGCTCCGTTAAGCGCTCCACCGAAGCCCCCACTGGGACCGTGCGCATGTGTCCCGCGCGCCCAATTTGGCATTTTCGCCCACCCACTATAGCCAGTATAGCGTTTCGTGGCCGCGGTAAGAGCTCCACCGAACCCCCCAGTGGGACCGTCCGCGTGCGTCCCGCGCACTCATGTGGCATTTCCGCCCAACCAGCACAGCGCATGCGCCCCGGAAGCCCAACTTGGCATTTCACCCCCCAGTACAGCGCTTCGTGGCCCCATAGGGAGCTCCACCGAAGCCCCCAGTGGGACCGTCATCATGCGTCCCACGCGCCCACTGGCATTTGCACCCACGCAGCACAGCTTTTCGTGGCCCCGTAGGGAACTCCACCGACGGCCCTAGTGCTGCCGCCCGTATGCGTCCCCCCCCCCACCCACTGCAGCGCTTCGTTGCCCCATAGGGAGCTTCACCGAAGAAGATATTCACAACTGCGGTACCCACAACTGTAAGTGTTTGGGTTCTTCGCCAGGATATTTTATGTTGGGGGTGTCCAAGCAGTTTTTTATGTATAGTTGTGCGGAGGCGCCCTCCGGAAAACCCGCCAGGCCCCCCGCCTTAGCCTTGACCTCCCCCCCCAAAAGCGAAAACCGTCAGAAGGGGGGCCGTTTTTTTGTGCAAAGGGGGCCCCCGACACGTCCAACACCCGTCTCTGCGATGGGGCTCTTGTTGTGGATTTTCAGATCGGCTATGACACGCGTCCGCGGATGGAAAAACAATGAGCGCAATGGGAAGGGACAGGAGGGAGGGGTAGGATGTCAGAATTGGCGAGAGCGCACCTGGCTTGCCCCTCACCTCTCGCTCCTTCTCTGTCTGACGCCGCGGCCTTCGTCGTCGCCGCCGTTGCCGCCGATGTCGCCGCTCCGCTCGCCGCCGCCAGAGCGCGCCAGCCAGGCGGGGCGGCCGGTGCTGGGCTACTGCACGCCGATGGGAGCCAGCAGCGCGGCCGGCTCCGCGAGCGTGTCAGGCCTCGAGTGCAGCGCCAGAGCTCAGCATTGTCCAGCTGGTCCCCGTCCCCACGGGGCCCTGGTGGTGATGGGCCCGGCGAAACCCTGAGGAACCGGCGCGCGTCTCCACCCAAGTGGGTAAGTCGGCCAGCAGGGGGGCCAGGGCCACGCCAGTGGGTATGATGAGGGATCGGCTAAACGATGCTCGGGGATGGGCCTCGGGAGGCAGCGGCAAACCGCTACTAAACACTATGCCACTCAGTGTGTTCCGCTTGGGTCGCGTTCTGCGAGGGTCCGGGCTGTTTCCCTCAGGCCGCACACGCGCGCCCCAGGAAGGTCGGATCCCTGTCGGCCGAGGGGGGGGGAGGAGGTGAGAGAGGGGGAGAGGGGGAGTGGGCCTGTGCACGTGCATTCTTTTCGCGGTTTCAGCTTCGAGGCCGCGTGCTTCTTTTCGCAGCAGTTGCAATCGGCAGATTTGGCTGGGAAGCTGGCTGCTCACATCGGCGCCTCGGCCGAGGGAGACTGTCGCCGGCACCTTCGGGCCCGCTCGGCGGCGGCTTCAAGCTGGGAGCAGTCAGGGCCGCAGTCGCAGTCGCAGCCAGCGAGGCTGAGCCGCCACCCTGCGTGCCTGCTGGCCGCCCCGCACGCGGGGGGCCTCCGCAGGCCTCTGGAGATCTCTGGGGGTCTCGGGGGACCTCGGCAGAGCTCGGGGGACCTGGTCACCGCCAGGATCCCAGACCTGCAGGCGTCCGGGGTTCCTCCGGAACCCCAGAGTTCGAGGCGCTTCTCCGCAGCGGTGATGGGGTCGAGAGCTCTGGGGGCCCCCGTGGAGAAGCATCCTGGCGAGACATCCAACCATATGCAGTTGTCAGTACCGTCGGTGGAGCTCCCGACTGGGCCACGAAACGCGTGAAGGGAGCGCCGAAATGGGGCGGGGCCGCCATGCGGGCACTGCCGCTGGGGCCGCTCGCAGGGGGCGCGGAGGTAAGACGAAACGGGTTACATTCTGATGTAACCCGTTGCGGACACGCACCGGGAGAAGCGGGAGAAAACACGCGGGCGCAGCCACTGGGGCCTTCGGTGGAGCTCTCTGTGGGGCCACGAAGCGTGTGAGGGGTGTGCCAACGTGAGGGGGTGGCGGCATGCGAACGCAGCTACTGGAGCCTTCGGTGGAGCTTCCCATGTGGCCACGCAGCGTGTGAGAGGTGTGCCAAAGCGACGGGGGTGGCGGCGTGCGGGCGCAGCCACTAGGGCCTTCGGTGGAGCTTCCTATGGGGCCACGAAACGTGTGAGGGATGTGCCAAAGTGAGGGGGGTGGCGGAATGCGGGTTGTTTTCCGCTGAGGGGAATCCACGGTCCGCGGCAGGTCCCACGGCCCCCCGCCCGGCGGCGTCGCCCGCCTCCCCAGCGGCGGCGCCAGCGGCGGATCTTCGTTGTCGCTGATCTCGATGGGCACCATCTGGTAGCCAGGAGGTGCTGACAATGCCACTCCTCCGGGCCTGAATCCTGCTGCGGCGGATGGCGGCGGCGCCCGAGGGTGCTCTGGCTCGCTGGGGAAGCCGCCGAAGCCGCCTGGCCACGCTGCCAACGCCGCCCGGCGGGCCGCCAGGACGTCCGGCGAGGTTGCAGTGCAAGCCGCCGCCGACCACTAGGAGCCGTGCAACAGCACCCAGCTGACGTGGGGGCTCCGCTCGAGCCCGAC